TTTTTTTTTCCATCTCAACTTTTTCTAAAACTGCATTTAAATCAGAGTGCCTTGTTACCTATCTATATCTGTCTTGTTATAAAAGTCCTGTCCAGCAAATATGAAGGAGTTTCATAAAGGAACTGAACGTTTCGAAATTTGATAGTGGATCTCATATAAAATGATGGCAACAAAAATGGGAAAGGGAGGGAAGCTGAAGAGATACTTTCGCCTTAGCTCCATACCCGGATGGGAAAGAAGGAATCGTGGATACGAGAAAGCGAAAGTGAATACACTGAACTACAAAACTACCTTTATGAGATACGAATGCAAATTAACAGTTGCAAAGCGATCTAAATGGCTAGAAAGTAAGTTATATATGGTAAGGTCATGAGTTTTACGAAGTGTGGGGTAAGTTAGAGACTTTCTCAGTAGGAAGATAAAAGAAAGAACTGCTATTAAATCTTGAAGGAAAAACAAGAGGTTGGGAAACTTGAAATAAGTTAATATTTAAAGGTAAAGCGGTTGATTATATCATTAAAAACATTCCAAACACTTCAGTTTTTCTCGTTATAAAGTGAAAGTCGTCTGTTTCTGAGCAAAACATTTTACACTGACAAAAATATTTTGTTTTTATAACGTTATAAAGAAAATGGTGAAACACAGTGGTTTTCGAATAAAAAAAGTTTAATGGTGGGAAAGACTAAAGAACAATAAAAATTTCCATTTATGAATTCATTTCCATTGGAATATTAAACCACTTGCTGTAATGTAAAAGAAGCATTTACATTGTACGAAAACTGCCAAACTTTGATCTATTGATAATGAAAGAAATTCAAATGTATTGTTACGAAATGCCCAGCTGCGGTAAGATCCCCTCAAAGCGGGTTTAGGTTGCCAGAAAGTGGCGAAAAAGGTAAAATTGCCAGAATTGAAGCAAAATCGCCAAAATTAGCGATATGCCGACATATATAATTTGGCGACCAAATTAGCGATATGCCGTAGACGGAGCGAGAACATTCTAAAAAAAAATCTTACGGTCTTAAAATCTTTTCTCGAGAATGTACTCGAAGGTAGGTCAAAAGCTATATATATCCTGCCTGTACGCCGAGTAGCTTGAGTTCAGTAGTAGTGTTGTAAGTTCAAAGATTAGCTTCACAGCGAGAGCTGTACATTAGTGCTTTGCCGTGAAGCTGTCTTCACCGTTATAGCCTGATAGCCCGAAAGCTGTGTTGCTGATTGTTTCATCGTATTTGTCGTAGTTTTTCGACGACTGTAACGCGTCTTTGGAACTCTCCTATGTAATACTGACAAATAAATTGTGTTTTGATTCTTCCTGTATTCTTTTGAAGTGTTGTTATCAATCACTCCAAATCCACGAACCCGCAGAATGTGAAGAATAAAGATAGCAAACTTTGCTTACCTTTTATTCGTCTGTCCAGCAGCACTGATTAAATCTCCGAAATAAAGCTTGTTCTGAGGGGTGTTTTATCGTGTGCCCATCAATATTAGAAAAGCATATATATTCAGTTTTAACTAAAATAATAAAAAGCGACGGATACTTTAAAGATGCATACAAGCACACAAGAGAGAGTAATAATAAAAAGTAAAGAATAGAACAAACGGATTATGGGATATCATTTTTGGCAATGGTTGGCGCGCGCCTTGCCATCGCTAGGTTTAATAGAAGAAGTAAGTATTTTTCAAATGCTTGATGTATTTACAACAGAACGCAACAGTATGATTGATGAAGGACATTTCCAAAAGTTTCATAAAAAAATTGAGAAGAAATTTATTGATGAAAACAGAAAATGTTACCGAAATTCACGTAAAAATATCCTCGTTGTAGTAAATTATATTTTTTGCCTCGTATAGCGACATCTGTAATATTTTCTGTGACCACGGCAACATTAACACAGTAATTTTTGTTACTGTAAGACACTGTAAAATGAAGCCGATAAGTAATACTTCTATCATAGAAACTTAACAGTGCCAGCTGCTACGCAAATAATAATTCAAGCCTGTCACCTCTCATTTGATCAATGAAAGCATCGTTAAAAATTATTTACGGCATTCAACTTTGACATCGAGACAAAGAAATAAGCCGACATTAATTCAAAAAATAAAGCTTTAGTATTTAGAAATAATGAAATAGCTAATAAAGGAGGAATATGCGGCTAACAATGCAGGAAAAATAACGGAAGAAGATATTTTAATCTTAATTACAGTCTATTTCAACAGGCTATAATTATGCTCAGAATTTCTTGGACAAAATTTCTAACAAAGAAAAAAGGCTGAGGTTATGAACTTGTAATGTTCCTCAGTACTTTGTCTGTGTTAAAATGTCGAAGAACTTAGCGAACTAAGTAGCGGATAGGGTAGAGTTCAAGTAGTTACGACTGAGTCTCGAGGAGAGTTAAAAATACTTTTTATTTACTCAAATAATAATAGACGGCCAGTTCTTGGGCTTACAGGAAAGCCTCTACTTGAGCCCTTAAATAAAATTAAGAAAATAAGCAACTAATCTAATGCTAAATTAAATAGACTTAGCCGAAGTTAGACACAAATATCTAACGTAGTTAGCCCTTAATTTAATCTAGCCGGCGACTGTCAGCGGGCACATCCAATACTGCCAAGTGTAGTAGGTTCAAGAAAGAAGTAGCCAGAAGGTAAACACGCACCACTAAGGACTCCTAAGCGCTTTCTCTCGAAGCAAATTGAACTCTCCTTAAATACTCCATCTAATTCATTTGCATAAAACGTGATACTAAAAACTCATTCTGGTACGGAATTGTAGATTGGAGACGAGAATAGACAGTAAAATATGTTTAAATTCAAAATAATTGTTAGAAACTTAAAGTAACTTCTACAAACTCATCGATATTTCAATGAATAAAAAAAACTTTACTAAACATGATTAGTTAATTTCTTCGAGTTTAGGAGGTAGAAGTAAATTTAAAACACTTAACGTAATATTGAAGGTAGTTTATCAAAAAGTTAAAATGTAATTCAAGACATTTTTAAGCGCGTATGATTATCAGTTATGAGTTCAGGCGGTGTAAGTACAAAATCTTGATTGTTAGTTTTCAGATGGATATTTTAATGCTGCTGGTCGTTGGTTGCTGAGCCTCGGCCGTCGTTTCAGGAACCACTTTCAGGGATGCCACTAACCTGAGATATTCCCAGTCTTGAAATTCTGCTTTCGTATAGTCAATAACGTTGATGCCCTGAAGAATTAAAGGTGTAGCACAAGGCCTTAAACAAAGAGGTATTAATTTACGTTGCACATGTTCTGAAAGAAAAAAGTTGTCTAATTAGTTCAAATAAGCAATGATCTACAGTGTGTCCCGTAAATGTTGCGACAAGCTTCTGGGGGAGGTAGGGCACATCATAAGGATTAAGAATTGCAAAGGAACCTATGCCCAGACATGTCAGGTGTAAGTGGTAGAAGAGATAGAAGATTGGAAAGGAAACAAGAGAGTGATTAATTTGCAACATTTATAGGCCATGAATACAAATGGTGTGCAACAGCTTGAATGATACAACAGATGCTTGACGTTTGCACCATCAGACGCCAAACATGCTTGACACCGATGGACCATTGATTGCCGGATGTGTTCAGACAAACCGGGAGTTTCTTTGATTGTTGCAGCTGCGCAGCCGAGTCTTGCCACGAGATCCATTTCAGACACAGGATCGTGATACACGACACTTTTGATGGCACCCAACAAAAATGAATAAAAGCTCAATAAATCCGCTGAGCCTAAAGGCCAAGGAACCGGTTCACGACGCCCATTCCTTTGATGCGGGAATGATCTGTTCAAATGGCTACGAACATCCAGTCCAAAATGAGTAGGTGCTCCATCATCTTGGAATCACATGTTCACAAGCTCTCCGTTCGTATAGCGTTCCATGCTCTTCGTACGGTGCCTACCGCTCGAATGAGGCAATCCTCACTTTCCACTAGCACTCTTCTGTACAACAGCCCCTAGCGGCGTACAATGATTTTTCTGGGCAAGGGTTCCTATGCAATTCTTAATCCGTATGATGTGCCCTACCTCCCCGAGAAGTTTGTCACAACATTTACGAGACACTATGTATTACTAAAATTCAAAGTACATTTTACAAAGTTTTATTATTTAAACTCAGATCGGATTAAAAGCGACACCTTTCGTTTGTATTCTTAAGTTCATCAAATAATTTGCTAAAAGCGCGTTACATCTGAATCATTCTTTGGATTTATGGATTTAAAATCCTTGCTTTCGGCAGTGGGCCTTAGATTTTAGAAAGGCGTTAGATTTTGCGGCGAGATAGCTTTCCCACAAAGCAGTTTTAGGATTGCTATAAAATGGTAAAAGAAGGCAGGGTTGCCACATTTGACAAGAAATCGCCCATTTGGCGACAAAATTGGCGATATACCATGGACGGATGGAGAACCTTCTGGAACGAATTCTTACCGGTTTAGCCCAGAATGTTCTCGAACATAAGCCGAAAGCTATATAAATCCTATTGGTCTGCACTCAGAGTGTGTGCTTCGTCTAGCGAGCTAATAGTCAGTCATTGAGCGAGTGTCTCGAAGTCTAGCGCCGAGTTGGTCGTCGAGTGCATCGAGAGAGTCTTTTAGTGTATCGCGAATTAGTGCTATACTCTTGTCGAGAGCTATACTCTTGTGTATCGTCGAGTGCATCGCGAGTTGTAGCATGGAGAGTCTGGAGGGTACGTGGAGTTCCGAGAATGACCAAACAGAGTCGGAAGCTTTACTCAGTGCTTTGCAGTGAAGCTGTCTCCACTGTTATTGAATATCAGTGTGAAGGCCGTGTCGCTGAACGTGTCAGCGTGTTTATAACAGTTCGACGACTGTAATAGTGATTTTGGAGTTGTCCTGATTAGTACTGGCTAAATAAAAGTGTGTTTCGATACTTATCAAGTGTCGTCGTTATTCACTCCAAATCTACGAACCCCGTACGAACATGAAGGAAGAAAATAATGTAACAATATCTTCTAGTGGCGCACCCTGGGCAACATTTTTATAAGGACGGAGTTGCCTGTCAATATTTCAGGTTTCGGATATCAGGAAAGACATCCCTCATTTACGAGTGCTACAGTGGAATGTAGGTGGACTAACTTAGAGTAAGAAGACTGCACTTATTAAACTGTTTGATAGTATGAAAGGTTTTTTTTGGGGGGGATGCATGCGAGAGCACATTTTTTTAGACTAAAAAAGATGTGAATTTGCCGAAATTCATGTTACCTATTTTTGACGTTAATATTTTAGAACAATGCAGAAAGTGACAAATGGTATTTCTCTAATATGAAGTCAGAAATACTCTATTATGAAATTTTAAAATAATTAAATAAATCGTTGCTTCCACAGATAAGAGCCACATTGTGAAGGCTAATATCTGGGAAAATAAGACTCTATAAACAATGTATGACCCGTGGGTCACCGAGTGACCCATTTGGTAATTTAAAGTGACCTACTTTAGTTCCGAAAATAAAGATATACAAACATTTTTTTTCTTTTTCCCAAAAATTTTTTGTCGCAAAGTTATGAACGTACCAAATTTGAATCCAGTATAACATACAAAAATATCAGTTAAAGCCCCACCCCCACCTGACTGGATATGGAATCGGCCGATAGTATGCGGAATGCAGCGACATTGTCTGAACAAATTGTACCATTCCTAGAAGAGTGCGTCGTTATCTCAGTTGTATGTCAGTTGTAGTTATAGCACGTGTAGTACAGTAGCACAATAATATTGACCTAGTAACCTAGTGAAATAAATATTATTATTTAAAAAAATTACCATGAACAAACAAAAAGCAAAAAAGAGATTATTTCAAGATGTGTGGACAGAAAAGTATGGGTGTATCGAAAATGCTGACAAATTGATATGTACTTTATGTACAGATATAATTACTTATAATATTGAGCGACACTTTTCTTCAAAACATAAAGATGTGAGTGAAATGGCAAATGAAGATAAATCTGAATACATTGCTAAACGTGTATTAAATTTTGGAAAACAAAATTAATTCTTAAAGAGTTTTGTTACCAGTAACAATCACGCTACGTCTGCCAGCTTTGTTGCAACTCTTAGCATTGGTACCAACGGAAAACCATTTACAGACAGCGAGTTTTTGAAAAACGCATTTGTAAATTGTTCCGAACACATATTTAATGAATAGTATTGGTAGGCTTGCAATAATTATTAGATTTGCATCAATAAATAGCTCGAATGTCAATGAAGAACTATACGTTCTTGCTTCAATGAATGACACCACCAAAGGCACTGATATTTTTCGTCAAGTACAACAGTTTACAAATTTCAAAAATGGGCAAGTATTCGGATTTAGAAATGTAAATTGTTTTCCATAACAACTGGCGGTGCTCCAAGTATGAGAGGAAAAACTGTTGGATTTGTAAAACTAATAGGAAAATGAACTTGGCCGTTCACTTTTATCGTTTCATTGTATCATACATGAAGAAAATTTATTTGCAAAGGCATCTACACAACAACTTAAAGGATGTAATGGAAAAAGTTGTTAAGATCGTAAACATGATAATAGTGCGATCAGCATTAATACAATAGGCGCTTTAAAGCCTTTTGTTGGAGGAAATTGAATCGAAATATGGAGATTTGTTATTACATTCTGAAATACGATGGTTAAGTCGGGGCAAAGTTCTTTAATAGATTTGTAGAGTGTTTTGATGATATACAAATATTTCTTCACGAAATCGGTGAAAATGATCTCGAACTCAATGATAAACAATGGTTTTTAAGACTTTTGTTCTTAACAGACATAATGAACCATTATAATGACTTTCAACGTACGACTCCAAGGAAATAACCACACAATTTTGAAAATGTATGAGGAATAGAAAAGTTTTACTTCAAAATTGATATTATTTGAAACTGACATAAAAACTAAAAATTTCATTTCTTTCCCTTGTTAAAAGGGAACATGAAAAGAAATATCGATGAACGCAATCTAAATATGTTCGAACTTGGATTTCGGTCATTAAAAGTGAATATGAAAGTCGGTTTCAAAGTCTTAAGAAACATGGAGAAATGTTTACATTTATAATAAAGCCCGATGAAATAGAAGAAAATATTATAAATTTGCAGTATTTTGAATATCTAAGAATTGACAATTTTAGTTTAGAAATGATTGATTTTAAAAGTTCAACATTATGTACGGATAAATTCAAGAAATTGCGGAACGATTTGGAAAATACAGAAGCTAATAATTTTCTCATGATATCAACATGTTGGACATCACTTCCTACGAGGTTTTCATCATTAAAAAAATTGCCTTTGCCATTTTGTCCACATTCGGGTCCACTTATAAATGTGAGCAAGTATTTTCACAAATGAAATTCATTTTAAGCAAAAACAGGAGCAGGTTAACTATTGAAAATTCAGATGCTTGTGTTCGACTTAAAACGACTAACTAGTATAAACTAGACTTGACTAAATTGAAGTCACAAGTTCAACATCAGGGGAGCCATTGATATCGTAGAGAAAGTTTATAAATAAAGTTTATTCAACTATGTTTGTAATTATTTTCTTAATAAAATATATCTTATTATTTACTAAAATGCTATTTTAATACGAAAATATCTCTGACACAAACGTCTCTTTAATACTCGCATTTTGGTTGATTTTGACCCGAGGCCAAAAAAGGTTGCCGACTCCCTGCTCTACCTCTTACTGAAATGTTGATATCTTTGAGGATTTCAGTGCTCATTCAAAAAACCGTGGCGCTACTCAGCATTAGATGACTAAACGAGAACTAGTCAAGGCATTCATAGATACATTCAGTGTAGATCTTATTTTCAGCTCACGCGATCTTTTCTCATTTTGCGTTGGCAATGCCCAAAACTCTGATTTGCTTATTTTCCGGCAATCTTATTTTTCCAGCAGAGCTTCTCCTCTTCCGACTTTGCATGTTACATTATATAAAAGATACCGAAATTTCACTAAAATTATTTAAATATATATAAAACTCATAACAACTGTAGATCCCGAGCAGTACAATCTCTAGACAGCAAGCCGTACTTACAACTAAAAGGAATATAAATGCAGTACTAAAATATTCAATAAAAAAACATACAAAATATCAAATACTAAATAAATAAATGAATGAATTTACAAATTTATATAAAAATATGACCATGGTTTTAATATACTATTTATATTATGTACACAAGGGGGACCACGGCTAGACTGTCATAATGAACGATTTTAGGCTTAGAATTTGATGATTTACAGATCCTTACCACGACGTCATTCAGACTGTTTAGGACTCTGTAAGGATCATTCTAGGTAAACTGTAACATGCAAAATTATCCAAAATCATAAAAGGAGAAAGACCTTCCACACCTTGTCACCTTGAATCGGATTCGATACCTGGTCACCTTCTCTAAGTCGACGCGGATTTGCTAAATCCAAATTGCCACCTTATCTGAATCGACGTCCTGCAGCTCTTGTGTCGCACCGGGTCTTCATCTTCTCCGTCGCAAAACTTATTCGCTGTCGTGCGAAACTACGCATCACTTCAAACTATGCCTAGAGATCTTGAATGTACTGCTCAAGCGATGAAGGTGCATCCGGAGGGCCACCAAACAAGACATTAAAAGGCAGACGAAGGATCTGACGAACAGCATCTGGAATGGGAAGTAGCTGCTAGTCTCATAGACAGCATTGCGATAGGTCAGCAAGAATAGAGGTAACTTCTGGCCACAGGCCTGTTGGTTTCTGGAAACAATCAGCGAGTGGTTGTTAAGAATAGTTCGATTAAAACTCTCTACCACTTCGGATGTAAAGGCGCTTGGGTTGTGTCTATGCCGAATAGTTTACAAAGCCGAGATGAAGTTCCCTTTTTGATCGGAATATAGCAAAGAAGCACTCCAAACCTGGAAATCCAATGCTTTTTCATTACCTCTGTTACCGTACCTAGAGATCTTGAATGTACTGCTCAAGCGATGAAGGTGCATACGGAGGCGACCAAACAAATTAGGGATAGGATATATTTGAGGCTACTTTGTAATGTAATCAATGACAATGAGGTTGCATTTGTTGCCATTAGCAGATCGTTGCAGAGCTCCTGTGGTATCCAAGGTGATAAGGTGATACATTCAAAAGGCGCTCCTACAATTAAACGTTGCAGCTTCCCTCAGCTTCGTTTCTTCTGTCCTTTCCGACCCGCAAAAAGATCACAATATTGGCACCATTTTTGAACATCACATATACATTATTTCACTAGAAGCGCTCTCGAACTCTATGCAAGTCATCATTAATCCGAAGTGGCCTCCTGTTGGACTGCTATATAGTTCTTTAAGGACGCCCGGAACGCAGGATCTTAGAAGTAATAGCCTGCTATCGAAATGCTTTTCTAACACCGTTTCCCACTTCCGATACAAGACGCCGTCTCGAATATGCAGTGAGTCTCAGATAGCCCAATATTGTTTTATCGTAAGACTATAGATCAAGCAATGTGACAAGCAGTATGAAAATATACCATACCATATTGTGCAAATGATTTCGTTGGGTTTAAAACTCATTTTGCTGAATTCAGTGATAGAATAGTGGAAACTGGTTAGATTATTTGAATACGGAAAACAACGCGGCGGCTATCTGCATAAGAAAAAGATGCCCTCGTGGAGGACTTTCTAAAGAAAACCGGCCCTTCACACATGCGAAAAAAAGAGGGAAACCATACATGTATCCAGCTCATTTGCCTATGTTTGAACTCAAGTTGAACTATCAGTATTCATGAGTTTAAAAGTCTCGGCTACTGTTGGGGACACAGCGGAAACTGTGTAGCAGCTTGGTATCTTTAAGATGATTCCACCAACGTAATTGAATGCATCAGATCGAATACGAATTAACTAGATAATGAAAGAGGTTTTAATATAGTCAACAACGGACATAACTGAGACAATGATGACTGTGTTGAAGAACCATCGTGAGAAATAATAGATGAATAATTGTAAAAAATTGTGGAATGCTTCGAATCCTGTCATAGATCCCAATTTTGAACGTAACCTTACAGTTCCCTAAAAGACAAACAGTGCGATTACAGTGCGAAACATTGCGGATATATATTTAATTATAAAAAAATGTGACTGTTTTTATTTATACATACCTATACCTAAATAGTGTGCCCATTTTGTGCAGAATGCACAAACAGAACTTTCCAGGAATTCAGGAGTTAAAACAGCTATCGCTCTTCTACACCTGCAGAAAAAGTTACGTTCTTATTGTCGCTTTTAATGAAAATATTAGTCTACATTCTTTTCAAGTAAATTTTCGTCTTTATTTAAATTTTTAATTTTAAGAAAACAGAAATTCTTGAATAGCATTTTAAATCCAGGAAATAACAATAAAGGAAATGAAATAGCCAAATACAAAAAATTCAGATAAAACACAAGGAAACAATAAGGAATAATTATATTAGTTGCAAATATTAAGGACGGGAACAGGTACACATATGCAACCAGCAATGTTTCATATCAGTACAGAGCATGCCATAGACGAATGTAAAACCGAAGAATTTGGTTAAACCATGAGAAAGGTGAGCTGCACTGGCCAAGAAAGAAATCCAACAGATGCAATGGGTCTTTATTCAAAAGCTTGTGTGGTTTATATTTATTTCAACTAACATTTATTTTAAGTTTAAACTATCTTTCCTGTCAAGCCTTACTTTCCCCTGGAATTGCCAATGCCAGAGTATGTAAATTTTAGTAGAACGCGCAAAGTATTCAAAATAGTCAGCGGAAGTATTCTGAGTCAAATAGAAGGGAAACGAGTTCGAAAGTAAAATAGCCAAATACAAAAAATTCAGATAAAACACAAGGAAACAATAAGGAATAATTATATTAGTTGCAAATATTAAGGACGGAACAGGTACACATATGCAACCAGCAATGTTTCATATCAGTACAGAGCATGCCATAGACGAATGTAAAACCGAAGAATTTGGTTAAACCATGAGAAAGGTGAGCTGCACTGGCCAAGAAAGAAATCCAACAGATGCAATGGGTCTTTATTCAAAAGCTTGTATGGTTTATATTTATTTCAACTAACATTTATTTTAAGTTTAAACTATCTTTCCTGTCAAGCCTTACTTTCCCCTGGAATTGCCAATGCCAGAGTATGTAAATTTTAGTAGAACGCGCAAAGTATTCAAAATAGTCAGCGGAAGTATTCTGAGTTAAATAGTTCTGAGTTAATTCTGAGTTAATAGAAGGGAAACGAGTTCGAAAGTGTGCTCTCTTGCTTCACGAGCGTGGAGGTGGCTAGGTAGAATTTGAAGAACCACGCGTTTCGGCCTGTGTGCTTGCCTCGGCAGATAGTTAAATCTTTCAACTTAATATTCAGAAGTTTGCTGAATTATCAGCGGTATCTTATAACGCGGTTAGGTTAGTTACGTTTAGAGAGCCTCGTAGGTAGTCATTTGTTATTATTTAATTTTTAGTTTCTTATTTTTATTTTACCGCCGGGTCGGCGTAGTTTGTGAGCGTCAAGAGCACGCATCTGTAATTTCTAAAGTTGAATAAAAAGGGATTAAAACCCTTCTCAAGACTTTGTGTAACTTTCCAGTTCATAGCAGTCACTACTATTGTTGCCGTGCAGGTTGGAAGGCCGCGCAACAGTTACATTGGCGCCCGAAACACTTGTCGAACTGAAATGGCCGAAAACTGGATGGAAGCTTTCCTGGACAATTCAACAACAGAAATGGCAAGCCAATTTTTTGATTTGAAGGAGAAGGATTTGGATACCTGGTCCAGACGATGAGAGCGTCAATCAAGCCAAACGTCAATTTCGACGGAAAAATTCGGTGGCGATATTTCTTAGAAGGCCTAGAAAATCATTTCCAGCTCTACCCTGTGCCTGAAAGACAAAAAGTTGCCATCGCCACATCCGCACTAAGAGGACAGGCCGCGCTATGGTGGAAGAATATAGGTAAATTTTTATTAGGGGAATTTGGAAGCCAGACATATACATTTGAAAATTTCAAAAAATCGTTAGTAAAGGCCTTCCCCATAGTGAAAGATCGAGCAAAGCTAGAAGCCGAACTATATAGTTTTTATCAACGGAATATAGAAGAGTTGACGGACTTTATTCTGCGAAAAATTAAACTGACGGATATGCTGTATGGAAAGAAACCCGACGCGGAGATTATTGAAATAATCTTACCAAGATTGCTACCTGCTGTTCAAGATTACTTCGAAATTAGAAACCCAAGCGCATTGCAGGAACTCTTCGAATTGGCGGTCAAGTTCCAAAATCGCAGAATAGCGGAGAAAGCTAGAGGGCATCGTATTCTCAAAGTATCTGAAGGCAATCTTCAAATGAGCAAACCAGAAACGCAAATCGCTCTTATGGGGAAAAGAGCTATCAAGCTAACTCATCGAAGCTCGAAGGTCAAGGCCCAAAAAGGAAATTTGAAAACAACCGTCCGCGTACCCAGAAAGCAGAAGTTGAAAGGAAAGCTTTAAACGAGTAGAGGGGCCTGTAAAAGCGAGGGTCCAGACCCCGGAAGTTTCGAAAAAACCCTCAAGAAGATACTTAAATACGGTCGTCGTAAAAAACTCACAATTGCCGATTATACAAGTCCTGGTTGGCGATGTACCAGTAGAAGCCCTCATCGATACAGGAGCAGAACATAATTTTATGAGTGATATTTTTTTTAAGAAGAATTTTAATAGGTTACGATTATTTAAAAATAAAAACACAGAAATCATAGCAGCGCAAGGACAAACTTGTCAATGTATTTGAAAATTATCTTTAAAAATACAGGTTCAAAACGAAGCCTTAAAGTATTAATTTTTGTAGTAAAAAACTTGCAAAGTCCACTTATTTTAGGTATGGAGTTTTTAAAAGCCGCGAAGGCCAAACTGAATTTTCAGGAAAGTTCTATTGTGCTGGAGATGGATCGGAGGGTGGTGGAACCAGTGGAACAACCGCAAGTCGACATTAGCCATTTGAATGACCATGAAAGCCAAGCCATCCAGCAAGCGGTGAGTACTTTTTAAAACTTGTTTTCAGAACGGCCTGGTAGTTTGCAAATTATTACGCATGATATTCAGTTAATTGCCGACAAACACTGTAGGACTAAACCTTACCGCTATGATAAACAGAAAGAACAAAGCATTGAAGAACATATTCAGGAAATGTTAAAGAACCAGATAATAACGCCCATAAATAATGAGTACGCGAGTCCAGTCGTACTATGTAGGAAAAAGAACGAGTTTCCTCCTTCGGATAAAAGGGCTTGGAGGTTTGCTATCGATTACAGGAAACTTAATAGTGTTACTAAATTCCCAAATTACCCTTTGCCGGTTATACAGGAAATTATTAGAAAGATTAAGTCTACGAGATACATGACTACGTTGGACTAAACGTTGGCTACTATCAAATATCTATGAGACCCGAAGACATACATAAAACTGCGTTTATAACAAAATCGGGCACTTATGCATTTTTACGCATGCCCTTTGGGTTGTGTGGGGATCGTCAACATTCCAGAGAGCTATGGACATTGTTCTAAAGCCTGTCATAGGAAAATCGACTTTAATCTATCTAGATGATATAATTATAACGAGTAGTACGTTGGAACAACATATTAAAGACCTAGAAGAAGTTTTTAAATTATTAAAAGAGGCCGGTCTTACAATTAACGCCTCAAAATGCAAGTTCGCAACTAAAGAACTTAAATATCTGAGTTATAAAATTTCGCAAAAGGGTATAGAAACTCAAGATTCAAAAATAAAAGCTATCAAGAATTTCCCACCTCCCAACACCGCCAAGAAACTTTCTTCTTTCTTTGGGTTATGTTCTTATTATCGGTCATTCATAAAAGATTTTGCTAATATTGTTGAACTCTTGTTAGTAATTAAAAGAAAGAAAAGTAAATTCACGTGGACAGCAGAAGCAAATACCGCATTTGAAAGGTTAAAAGAAGCGCTCATCAATGCCCCTGTTTTGAAATTCCCGGAGGGGGACGAAAACCTGGAAATTGCAGCAGATGCGTCGGACTATGCTGTAGGTGCTGTTCTCATGCAAAATGGCCATCCTTTGGCATTTTTCAGTAAAACGTTGAACCCTACACAAAGGAATTATACAGCTACAGAGAGAGAAACATTAGCCGTATTAATGGCTGTACACAAATTTCGAGTTTATTTCGGCAAAGCGCCAGTAACAGTGTTTTCGGATCATGCTGCTGTTGGTAGACTTTACTCGGGAAAAAACCTAACGCCCAGGTTAATAAGATGGGCTTTAAAACTTTGATAGTTTAAGAAGATACTTAAATACGGTCGTCGTAAAAAACTCACAATTGCCGATTATACAATTATGAGATTATATTCATTAGAATATAATCTCATAATTAAATATAAACCGGGTAAGAAAACAATGTAGCTGACGCACTTTCTCGTATAAAACTGGAAGATGAAGGAAATGAACTCAAATGCGCTGTGTTGACTTCAAAAATTTTAGATTCTAGAGAAACAATTATTGCTGAATTGCAAGCTGATCCTGAATTTGGAAGTATCTATGCATATTTGAAAGACCCCGAAAGCTTTGAGCACACAGATATCGATGCCATAAGAAATAGAGCAGAAAACTATGAAATAATAGTAATTTATTATTTTATACGAAAACAACAAACGAAAATCTCGAGTACAAACCAGTCATCCCAGCCTCGCTTCGATTAAGCATTTTGAAGGAATTACACGACGCGAAACCAGCGGGTCATTTAGGGGTCAGAAAGACTTTAAAAAGGGTACGCGAGGCGGTATATTTCCCGCAATTATACAAAATAGTAACTGCGTATGTCAGGTCCTGCAATCAATGTCAGTAAATAAATGATTTTAATTACAGCCCGGCTGGGTACTTAAATAGCATTCGCGCTACATTTCCGAATGAAATTTTAGGCATACATTTTCTTGGTCCTTTCCCCCAGAGCGAGTTAAATAAAAATCGTTTTCTTTTAGTAATTGCAGATCATTTTTCAAAATGGACAGAAATTGTTCCACTTAAACGCGCGTCAGCCAAAACAGTCGCAGATGCATTCTTACACAGATACATTTTAAAATACGGTTCACCGATAAAAGTCATTAGCGATAACGGTAAACAATTCGTTAGCCAAACATTTGAAAACATTTGCACTGGACTTGGCATACGCCATATCAAAATGGTTCCGTATAGACCACAGGCAAACATAGCAGAAAGAG